ACCCTAAGTGACTCATCTCCGCACTACCCCTCTGCAAGGTATGTCCATTTGTCTAGAGATGGGCATTGAGTCTCCATCACGCGCCACCCTCATTGACGAGGCTATGATCCCCCCACATACACCTTTGGTGTTTAAAGCCTGGTCCCTTTGGCCCTTCATGATCCTTTGTGACCCTTCTTAAGGAGATGTCCAATTGTCTACAGATGGGCTTTGGGTCTCCACTCCGAGCCCCCCATTCACATTGGTATGATTTTGTTCTGGGTCTTAGATGCCTGACACCTGATGCCCTCAACACCTATGATCACACAGGCTGGTGTGCTTCTTCCATGTGGGCTTTGTTGCTTCTCAGTTAGATGGCCACTGGCTTATCTTCTAGCCTTTAAGATCCCAGATGCTATATCTTTTGATAACCGGGCAACATGAGCTTTCTTCACCACATTTGCTTATGCACCCATTTTGTCTTCAGCAACCTTGTCGGGAAGGTGAGCACCACAGAATGCCAGATTATTAGAACAAAGTGTTCTTGGGAAGCACTTGAGTCAAGGCCCAATGTCCAACTGCTACCTTAATACTTAACATATAAATATAAGTACATAGAGCTATCTTTACATATAAATATATTTACATATGTACATACCTGTATTTAGACCTCTATAAATGTTCTTTACCTCCTGATTTTTTCCTCTCTAAAGAGGAGCTTATGCCAAAGGCTCAAGTAGAAAATGTTTTGGAAATGGTGATGGCAACATATGTACAAATATGCTTCATACAATTGATGTGTGGAATGTTATAATAAGAGCTGTGAGAGCCCCCAGTAAAATGATTTTTTTAAAATAGTTTTGTGTGACCTACATATTGTCTACTCTCTGAAGAGCTAATATCAATAAAGTTTGCATGGTAGATTAGGGACAGTTGAGGAGGACCTACCTGTATGTAAGGAGAGTCATTAGGAAGTTAACTAAGGAAGACGAGAATAAGAAAGCACCTTACAAGTTTTCAGGGAGATAAAATAGATGACATACAAAGAACTGGCGCTGTGAATGTCTTCTGTCTTCCTAAGAAAAAGACCTGAAACATCTTGAAGGAAAATAACTTCCCACCTAGACTTTTACAGCCAGCCTACCAAACGATCTTAGCAAATGTGCTAAATGTATAAATACGTCTCCTAACAGGCACAACACATTTTAAAAGTGTGCATCATATACGCTGCAATTTTAAAAAGCAAAAGGAGGATTTTCTTCATTAAAATAAGACAGGAGTAACAATTTATAAACTATCAAGGGCTCTGAGGGGGGAGGGAGGGAAAAAATGAGGACCTAATGCCAGGGGCTTAAGTGTAGAGAATGATGAGGGCAATGAATGTACAGATGTGCTTTACCCAATTGATGTGTGTATGGACTGAGATAAGAGTTGTATGAGCCCCTAATAAAATGATTGAAAAATAAATAAATAGATAGATAGATAAATAAATAAATAAAATAAGACAGGAGACCACAAAAGGGGAACTACTGAATACAGAACTAGAAGAGTCCTCCCGGGGGACAGGCAAACCCTGGGAGGGATGATGGAAGGGGGTCCAGGAGCGCAGCTTTGCCACTGAGGGCAGTGAGTTACGCCTGGAGCAGCAGAATAGTCGGTCTCATACGGGGGTGGGGGAGTCAACAGTGAGAGGAAATTTGCTTTTCACTAATGATCGATACAACTAAAACAAAGCAAAGGAAAACATGAACGTCACAGAAAACAAAACAGTTGTATAGAAAAGGAAGAGGAGGCATGCTTTACTCTGTGATTTAGTAATAAATTGTCTCGCTAATATAAATATGGAACATTGATCTAGCCAAAATTAAAAGATACCTGTATTGTAAGAAGGGTGTATATTAATTTCCGAAAACGGCCGTAAAGCACACTACGGGAGAAGAGGCTTTCTAGTGGCTCCAGGCTGGCAGCGGCTGCATAATTCCATGTCACATGGCTGTCCTCCCCCGTCTGTGGGTCTTTCTGGGCCTCTTCTCTTCTTGGAAAGGCACCCAGTCATATTGGTTAAGGGTCCACCCTACTCCAGTAGGATCCCACGTTAATGGATAACATCTTTAAAGACCCAATTTCCAATTAAGGCCATGTTTATGGGTAACAGGATGAGTTAGTTAATTGTGCCAACCTGGCCGATAATCACATGTGGGGCCAATTGAAAGGCGGAGGGATAAATGGGTGGTGAAGCCTCGCCTTTAGAGTTCTCAGGTCTCTTGCTTTGTGATGGTTGCACCAGGGTGCAGCTGCCTTAGC